AATATTTGCAATCTTTACACTAGGTAGGCAATTTACCATGCAGTCTACATGAACATCACACATAACTATTGTCTAATAACTGATTGTCCCACTATCAGAAAACTGTCCCCTTCCCTGGATGCACATCACTGGTATGAGAGGAATTGTTCCCTTCTAAGGTATCATTTCCCTTTTCCTCAGAATAATGACTTCCTTCCCTGAGACCCTCATTTCCCCTCACAGCAGAGGAGCTGTCACTCAGGGGTTGGGACGTGCTGTTTGGTCTCCAAGGATCTCATCAGGCCACCTCACTGCTCCAGGTCATTGTCCTAGGCTTCAAAGGAATAAACTTGTTCCTTGGGAGCCAAGAGCTCATTACACCAAGCACACCCCCATGACTTCTGTCCAAGGACCAGATACTCATATGTGAAACCCTCAGTACAATATACTGGATAGCATCCACATCCCTGCTAGTTTTCTGCCTTTATAACTGGGTTTAATAGGTATTATTTGTTTCTTCACCTGGAAAACCTCCAGTTTAGGAGATTTTATTTCTTTATTTTACTACTATATGTGAAAGATTTGCTTTTGGTTGTTCCTTCACAGGTTAAACCCACTGATTAGGAAAAGAGAGGGAAGTATTCTCTACCCTGGCCTCCTTGCCCTGTTGCCAAACTTACCTGGTTGCCTAATTTCCTTGTAGGCTGATGCCTTATCACACTCAGAGAGCTGGCTCCTTCAAGCCTGCTTTCTTATATAGCTCTGGGTAATTTGGCTCAGGTGCTGCAGCAACCAAATTGGTTGAAGGGCCGCATTTGAAAAGCAAGGGAGGCTGTGGCTAAACTCCTAGTTTGCCTTAGCTTTCAGTGATTGGGAAATGTATGCTAATTCTTAATTGTCTGCCCTGAGAGTGGTGATAGAAAGGATAATAGTGTATGAGGTTTTTGGAGAGGGCAACAGACAAAGGGTAGGTGATTTGTGAAGGAATCTGGTGTCATTTGAATCTAGGTGAGAATTCAGTGCTAATCTGGACTCTCAATTTTAGAATGGCTGTATTCCTGAGTTTTCATTCATGAGCTTCTCTATAGCACTAAAAGTCTGAGCCTACCCTGGTCCCAAACTAAGGCTAACCTTCACTTTATGTTTATAAGCAGCCTTTTCCACTAGTTAGGCCTGCACAGTGGCTCATTTCCTTCCCTTTCTAAACCTGGGTTCAGTTTACATAGGAGCGCCCTGCTTGAGCAAGGTTGCAGCTGGACTTCCCTCTCCAATGTAGTTCCTAACTATAAATTTGCAAGGGGTTTCCCTTCTGGGATTTTGCCTTCTTGCTGTGCCCTTGTCCTGGTTTCAGCTAATAGTCTATGACCGTGGGATGCTTAGCTATAGAAATTAAAACACAGCCATATAAGGAGATTAGTAAAACTCACCCAGTTGTTTAGCTCCCTTGCAGGCTGATGCTTTGTCACTGGGGCTTCATCACTGAGGATTCTTACCACTGCAATGCAAGAATCAAATATGACCCCTTTTCCAAAATAAAAGCACTCCTGGGTGTTTTTTTCGCTGGTTTTGTCCTGATTATTGGAACATGAATCTTAAAAAGCAAATCCATTTAACAGAATGTGTCAAAACAGCTCCCTGAGTTTTTACCATTGCAAACTGTATAGTTAATTGATCTTATAAAACTGCATAAAAGTTATGTAAGAAACCTCAGTAATCATTCTGAAATTCCTCTCTCTAATTGTGTCCAAGCTGCCTCATAATTGTATCCAGTGGTCCTAATAGCACCTCAGCCTCAAAAGAAGACACGATGTTCTAGCATGTCTGCTGTTGTTTTGTCCCATTTGTAATAAAATTAAACTATAATTTAATCTTTCAGGTATGAAGGACACTATCTTAAATGAAAATCATTGTACTATCACACGCTCACTATTTAATAAATAATGGAAATGTGATGATGAAGATGATAATAGCCTTTCAGCAAGCCTGAATAGCTTGCAAAATAAGACTGTCTTCTCGTATTCTAATTTTGTTTTGTTTTTTTCCTGGCTAGGCTACAAATACCGCAAGATTGAATTTCTACTGCAATATTAATTCACCACTCCCTTGGAGCTGAATGTGGTAACTAAAGGAAGGAGATATGACATGTTTAAGTTTTATTTTCACCTGATCCTATTTACCCATCTTTCCACTCAGAAATAAACTCTGAGGCTCTCTCCATGTGCCCCGAGGGAAGGCTCATACTCAACTATTTTAAGATATAACCATGTAGCAAGGGATAAGTATTAGATAGTGTTTGAATATGGTGATGGACACTGCGAGGGCCAAGAAACTTAGTCTGAGCCCTGGCAGGCCAGAGGCTTTATGGGTGAGTGGTTCCCATGTCCAGGGACTGTGTCAGTTGCCTGCGTAATTGGAATGCTTATTAATCCATCGCTGTCACTGGCTAGATATCATCAATGGTTGGACTGCCTTTGACCAGTTCCAGCAGGTAACACAACTATGACCATTCCTGACAGGGATAACTTGACCACTGTAGTCCATGCACTTAAAACTGGATTCCTGCAATGGCCTTGATGTAAGGCTGCATTAGAAGGTGGTCCAGAAGTTGCATTTGGTGCAGGAAGTGGCAGCCAAGTTATTAACCAGGCTGGTAGACCAGATGGTGCTTCCTGGTGGTGCTGAAGAGTTTGGAGGTCCAATCCATGACAGTTCAGAACAGAGCCTCTGGTGTTATAGTGCTCATTTTTTGGAACTTCCTATCCCTACAGATTAGACTGGAGCTAACCTTTTTTGACTTTTGGTGCCTATTGAAAACATTCTTTTTTCAACAAGCACTCCCAGGAGGTAGTTTCTTCTGCATATGTGCTTCCTTGAACTATTACAAACTTCTGCTGTATTTTTACATATTCCATTAAAAGAAATTTCTAAGCAGTTGATTCAAAACATTAGTAATGGTGCAATTCTGTGCCCTCGTGACATCCACAAGATGCTTTGAAGTTCCAGTTCCAAGTTCCTATGGCCTCAGACCAAGAACCTGCCCCATCCTACTAACACAGCCAGTGTTTTGTCCCCCACCAGCATAGAAAGAACTGTGCTGGCTGCCCCCACTGAAGTTGCAACTGGGCCCTGGTGGTGGTGATGAGGGGTACTGGAGAGCAGGGAGAGAAGAACAGGGGAGTGGATTTTGGCTGATTCCAATCCATAGCCCAGCCTCCTTCCCTCCCCTGTCCTAGCACTTTATCCTAGCACTTTATCCAGGTGGCTCAAAATGTCCATCTAGATAAAATACCCAACATTCTTCTGTCCTGTCCTTGATCATTAGATATGCCAGTGTCATAATGAATGGGAGAAGAGCCAGCCTTCAGATGGGCTTTCTGAAAGTGCCAGAGGCACCTGATCATATGCACGCTCCCTTGCAGGGAACCATGAGCACTGCAGAAGGTCATGCACCTCTTCAAGTTACAGGAAGCCAGATTCCAGCTAGATATGAGGAAGAACTTCCTGACCGTTAGAGCAGTAGGACAATGAAACCAATTACCTAGGGATGCTGTGGACTCCCCCACACTAGAGGTATTCAAGATGCAACTGGACAGGCATCTGAGAGGGATGATTTAACTTGAAGTCCTGCACTGAACAGGGGATTCGACCCAATGGCTTGATGGCTCCTTCCAACTCTACAGTTCTGTGATTCTATGATTCCCCTCTGCACCTCCCTCCCTGTGTTAGGCATTTTCATCTACCAAAAATCCATATTTCTGCTTTCCTTAACTGGGGATCAAACCAGTTTGTTATGAGCCCTATTCAGGTACTCCCTGGAGTGTGTAAGTGCTCACTGGGACAGGGCTATCCATGCTGCCCTCCATGAGTTTCCATGTGTGCTGGCCCAGCCTGTGCAGCTCAGGCTTTGGCATGTCAAACTGGCATAGCCTGAATGGTTCTATCTGCATTGAGCAACAGTAGAACTCACCATGTGACCATAGACCTTACCTTATCAATGGTCTAGCATGGACTCTAAATGGAGGGCACAAGGCCAGAGTATTCGGAGATGTAGGGTGTGAGATCAGTGTGTGCAGCCCCACTGCAGTGCACACATTGAGCTCTTGTGTGTTCAAGCAAGCACCTGAAGAAGCTTGTGATTTGTGCTTTATGTTGCCAGAAGGAAGGGTCTATACAAACTCTTCTTTCTTAAGAAATGGAGGCAAAGAAGTCTTCTGATGTCTCTCTTCCTTGCCATCACTCCATTATCAGAGACTTTTTCTTCCTTTTGTTCAATGCGCATATCTGCCTGTTCACCCAGAGCAGGAGTGCCTAGAATGCAGATCAAGGTCAAGCAGGGAAGAACTGGCCAGCCCCTGCCAGATAAGCTCATGCTGCCTGGATGTCAGAAGGCTTGCAAGATCTGATGCTGGGTGAAATGAGATTTAATCTGATTCGCCAAGCAAAGCTGTTCTCACAGACATAAGCACGAATACATACTTAGGACCATTGAATGCACATTCACTTTGCAGTAACTCTTAAGAGAATTTGAGTATACATGAGTCATGGGGGAGTTTTCTGAGGTCAACTCAAAACCAGTTAAAGGTAAAAGTATTTATTTTTCCAAAAAAACATATTTGTGCTCTTGTGAAATTCAGCCCAGATGCGCTCCTGCAGGCTTCACCCAGTCCTTATTAGGGATGTCAAGAGCTCTGGAAACAGTGTTTTCCATGGTTCCTGGCATCCAGGCTGCTGGTACATATAAAGCCTACTGTTTCAAACATGGAAACGATTCCATATTTGTGGCTTGAATGGCAAGCAGCTTCCCACGGTGGGCCATTAGAGTCCTGTGGCTCTCCCTGTGGTTTCAGCCCTCGCAGCCATGTCCGCCCGACACTTCCTTTTATAAAATGTTGAACCTGCAGCACTGCTGTAGCAACCTGGGCATCATGAACGCACCTTAAGCACTTTTATGGGAAATCCCTCATATTTCCAATTTAGTGTTGCACCCAGGGGAAAAAAATCTCATCTATACCTTCTGCATTAAGAAGTTACACAAAACTTGCACAGGCATGTGAGGTCCCATTAAACACCCTGAACAAGCAGACAGCTTAATGCTCTTTGAGTTTCTTTTACAGATGTGACACATTGGCTGTCAGGAGACTCATAGCATTGGATGATTCCTGACCTGTGTTTAGTAAGCTGAAAAATGAGGGAAAGGCCCATTATCAAGAACACTAAGAATCTATACACGTCAGAAGTCAGGGATTATTTATAACCCCTTTTCCCTTTTTTCGTTTTTAGATAAAGAAATGAGCCACAATGACACAACAGGATGGAATTTAACCCAGCTGTTTGTCTCCCCCAGATGAGCAATACTGGAGAAATATACTTGGAAAGCCACATGACAATAAATACCATCCTATCTTCCACAAAAGTTGACAAGCTTTTGCATATTACTTTCCTGTCCTAGTTCTGACATGATGTTTCACGATGTTTCTCCATGGAACTTTTATAGGTTGAAGAGAGAATCTGGAGCAAGTATGTGTTTTGTTCTTTCCTAGCTCATATTATGATTTAGCTCAATGGCATGCAACTTGTTTTGGCCTACAGCTCCCATAAACCCTCACCTCTGATTAGCCAAGGGATACCAGTGCTGCTCTATATAAAATAGTAGTCTCTGCCTTTATAGTATGGCAGGCCCTGCTCCAATTGGTCCCTAAATTCTTTGTAGATGTACCTGTTGAGGAAAGGAGAGGGGCAGGCCCTTCCATGTCATCCATGTGCTTTATCCACTGGATGATGGAGTGTTTTAAGACAGGAGCAAAAGCACTTTTTACTATCAATTTTCTCCACACTATGCATAATTTTATGCACTTTGGTGGTGTCTCCTCTTAGCTACCCTTTTCCCCAGCTAAATATGTAACTCCAGATGTTTCCAGGGCAGTTGTACAGCCCCTTTATAATTTTCCTGTACCTTTTCCAGCCCCACAATAGCCTTCTTGAGACCACCCAAGGCTTTGATGAATTCACAAGATGAAAAATTTATTCACTTTCTGCATATGATGAAGTAGATAGCAGACCTTGAATGCTTATGCCTGAATATTTTTGATAATTTTCAAGGTGCCACAAGCCTCTTGGTTTTCCTTTCAGAGTCTGGGCACCAAGGAGTTTGGTGACTCAAATGCGACTGCCAGGGACTTTTGACTCAGCACTCAGTCAATGCACAGATGAAAGTGGCAACAGGAAGAAGAAAAGAGGCGTTCTGTGAATACCCCTTTGGAGACTCATAACCAGTTTTACTCAAGGCTTGGAGTAAAGGACTTGAGCACATCACATATGAAGTAAGCCACTAGAAAATTTAGAATCATGGTGAGCTTTATCTCTGCCTTTGTATTTGGTCAAATGTGCACCTTTGCAAGTGCTATGGACCCAAAGATTGGTTCTAATGTTCTCATTCATTACTGCCCCTGGGTAATGTAGGAAGTCTTTGGATCTGCTGCTCACTCTGGTAATGGGACTGATGGCAGCAGCAACTTCTCTATATGTCCATAGTGATATGAGATATTCCTGTCTGTAGTAGGAATGATCAAAAGCAACAAGCAACTAAAATTCAGGCTTGTTAGCCTGGTGCCTGTATGTATTTTACTGTGCTAATTTGGACATGCTTTGCTGATAAGATTATAGGTGACTTACTTTCATCGTGGCTAACTTGCCTCATCAATTTCAGTGGGTCCACTCTAAGCATGACTAATTAACTCTGGATCCAACCCACATTTTAGAAGTCTAGAAAAAGATCATGACTCAGCATGAATCAATATTCCTCTGTTGATAGGAGTCTTATTTCAATATTTTATGTAGAAGTTATTAGAAATCAGGCTAGCTAAGGGGCTGAATACTCGGTGCAGAAACTAGTATGGTTAACAGCCTCCTGGGCCACTGACAAAGGAAAAGCTTTAGCATCCTTTCCCTTTCTGGATTTGTTCTAGAACTTTGATGGATTATCCATTGCTGTTGTTGCTAAGTGACATTCTTCTCAGATGCTGGTGTCACAGAGGGGGTTGTGATATCATGCCTTCTCTCTTGCTCTCTCCACTTCACTTCATGACTAAAAATCCAGTGCTGTTTCATCCATTGTCTGATCAATATGCAAAACCAGAAATTATTGATGGGCATTTGCTTTGAAAGCAAAAATATTTTTAGGCTGCAATATTATCCTCACTTTCCTGGGCCTAAGTCCTATTAAACTCAATAGGACTTATTTCTCAGTGTCCATACATAGGCTTTTACTGTGAGTTAAATTATTATAATGAGCTTTGCAAATAAAAAGACAGTATGATATATCCCAAGAACAATCTTGGGATATGAGAATAAGAGAGGGAGACAACGTAACAGGTCCCTGATGAGTTTCTCCATACTATTTTAGTCTGCTCTGTTTCCAAATGGTATTTTAGCACTGTTTCATGACCAAACATGCGTTCTCCTTGTTTCACTATCCATCACAATCTCCTTCTCATATTTCCAAAGGTTCTACACACTGAAACCAGGGTGATAGACTGGCTACCATATCAGATTAGGACCAAGGAGATGCAGATGCATGACCTTTATTGGGTGACCTGGGTGAGTCATAACTTGTCTTCCAGGCTTGCATACCTTACAGGGTTATTGTGGAAATACAATGGTGGGAGGGATAGGGAACCATGCAGGTTGATTTGGCTTCCAGCCATGAGCTCCCCCTGCCCAAGAATCTATTATGGTTGTTATTATTTAAAACATTCCAATCTAACAGATTGGAAAGGGGCTAATTCCTGATGCATGCAACCACTGCTACCATAGCTGAGTTTTTCCAAGATGTTTAAGAAATGTTGTTGCATATGTTGCTACCCATCACAGAAATGTCAAATACAGAAATGTCAAATACAATGTCAAATACAGAAATCCGTAATTCATTCCTGTTCTTTCCATAAAAACCCTAAGGTGACTAACAATATAATTTATATTAGAAAATAATCAGCAGCACAGTAAAACCATACAAAGGTTAGATAAAAGCAGAAGGTAAAAAGAAAAAAATGGCAGCCATCTTAGAAACAAAGGGCTGGATCCTGCAGGTGGAAGGGTTCCTTCCATGAGCACCAGGTTTTTGATCCATCAGAGCTCACCTTCTGACTCTGCAGGTTGGGGGAAACAATAATCAATTTCCCTGTCCTGCTGAAGTTTTCCAAAACTCTGCTCCAAGGATGTGAGAGACCCTCCAAACAGCAGAGTAAGAGTCTGTGGCAAGGGAAGTGGGGAATCAGCAAGAATTCACTCCTACACATACACCTTTCCACCAGCAGAAATCCTGACAGATTAAAAATGCTGAACTGAGCCCAACCTAATCCAATATTTAGATTAAAGATGCAGATTAAAACACAAAGCAGCTGAATGTATAAGAAAAGGAAAAGAACCAAAGCCTGTGCTGAAATTCTTCAAACTTTAGCTGCTCTATCACCTCAGTTCTTCTGTACTATTCATTTCATTCCCCTTTTTCTTTCAATGGCATCTCCCCTACCTTTCCTCTCTCATTATCTTTGTACTTCCAGACTTCTGTATTTTCTGATTTGATCGCTGTCAATTGAGCAAACAACTTGTTGAGTCACAAGGGTCATTGACTTTCTCTCACTTCCAGTCTCCCACTACCCTATGATGTTGCTTTGTTGTTTTGCTTGTCAGGATGCCTGCAAACCTGGAAGAGACGTGAAATGAATCCTTGCCAACATAATCAGCTACATGTAGTTCTTCTTGTAGATTATACAAATACGTTTGCAATAAGCCAAGGCAGCTCAAAGTTACATCACCTCTCAGTGGGCCAAGTGGTAAGTAGAGCATGCAGAACACTTCTTGGATAGTGAGAAATTACTATGGTCCCATTTTTTATGGTATTAGAACTACCTTTCAGAGGAAAGTATTATTGCAAAAATTGTGACAACTATCAAGTATAGATCAACACTGCATGTGTTTACTGAGAGGTTCCATGTGTGAGGTCTCCAAAGACTTTGCTGGATGAAAACTTGCATTTACAATAACAATATTTTAGGGTTTTATATTAATAGCTGTGGGCAGTTTTGTTTTTAAGAGCTTAAGAATGAGAGAAGAGTTTTCTAAATCAGACCAAAGGCCCATGTAGTTTAGCATCCTGTTTCCTACGGTGGCCAATAAGATTCCAATGGAAACTCAAAAGCAGGGCATGAGTGCAATAACTTTCTTCAACTCTTGTTCTTCAACAACTGGCATAACACTGGAGGTGCAGGACATAGGAGGCAGCCTTATGCCAGGTCAGATCGTGGGTCCACCTGGTGCAGTACAGTTCCTTCTGACACGCAGCAGTTTTTCATGGCCTCAGGCAGAGATCTTGTCCAGCACCTACTGCCTGGTCCTTTATGAACTGAAAATGTCAAGGGTTCAGCCTGGAAGGCACATTTTCTGCCACTGAGCAACAACAACTTGTGGAGCCATGAGAGTGAGACTTGACTTCCATTCTTGTAAGGAAAATCCTAGAGAGAGCTCTGGCCTGAAAAGTTTTCTTGTCTCTTAGTAAACATTCCCTGAATAATCTGAAGTTTATGCTAAACAACTGTTCTTTTTTCAGTGTCAATATGGCAGTTGAAAATATCATAGTGGTAGGCCTCATATTGAAAACCAGATACAACCGCTAAAACGTTACCACTAAAAATACAGAGAAGAAAACTCAGCTGTAAAAGAAGCTATTTCCCCTACCAAGAGTTCAATATAAACCATCTGGGAATGCTAATAAGAAAGCCAAAACATTGCTTTGAAATGTATATACAAAAAAATGTCCACTTGGAAATTAAGACAAGTAGGTCATACTACTGGGGGCTGGACTGTAAATGACACAAAGTCATAGGAAGCATGGAAGACACAAAGTGCATAGTGAGAATGAACTTTTCTGTCTCTACACCAATGCCCATGTTATGGGAAACAAACAACATGAACTTGAGCTCACAGTACATGAGGACAATTATGCTCTTACAGGAATAACTGAAACTTGGTGGGGTGACTCACATGACTGGAACTCTGCAACTGATGAGAAAAATAGAAAGAACAAAAAGGAAGGTGGAGTTGCACTGTACCTAAGAGATACGTATATCTGCACAGAAATACAAAAAAAGGAACTTAGTAGCCCCATTGAAAGCATCTGGCTTAATTTAAAGGGAGCAAAAAATAAGAAAGACATAGTTACTGACATCTATTACTGACCTCCCAGTCAAAAAGAGGACAAGGATGCAACCTTCAAAAAACAACTTGCCAGTATTTCCAAGAAGTCATCATGGGGGACTTCAACTGCCCTGATATATACTGGGAGACAAATTCTGCCAATCATGGCTCCTCCCACAGATTCCTGGCATGTGTTCCTGGCAGCTTTCTCCAGCAGAAAGTAGAGGGAAGATACAAGAGGATTGGCTATCCTCAATTTAATACTAACTAACAGGGATGGCCGGATGGACAGAATAACAGCCATGGGAAATCTTTAGGGACAGTGACCATGTGATACTTGAATTCTCAATTATAAAGGAAACAAAGGGTAACTGGAGCTACACAAGCATCCTGGATTTCAGGAAATCCTACTTTAATGAACTCAGAAAAATGGTAAGCGCCGTGCCATGGCAACACACCCTTAAGGGAAAAGGAGTCCAAGAGGGGTGGGAAATCTTGAAAAAGAAACATAGAAACTGAGTGAGTCAGAAGGGGCCTCCCAGGCCATCTAATCTGATCCCCAGCTCCAGCCAGCTGCGCTCATGACATACTGTTTGAAGAAGTTTCTCTAACACAATTATGAACAATTCCATCAAGAAGAACATGTGGAAGACAAGAGAAAGCCCACATAGCTTCACAAACACTTAAGTGACATCCTGAAAGAAAGGAAAAAAAAGAACGTATACAGGAAGTGGAAGTGGGGCCAGGCCACGAAGGAAGAATATCAACAAATAGCAAGGAGTTGCTGGGATAGCATCAGGAAGGCTAAAGCAGGAAATGAACTGAGAATAGAAAGGGATGATAAGAACAAGAAAGTCTTCTTCAGATACATCCAGAACAAAAGACATAAGAAAGAGAAGGGTGTCCAGCTACTTAAAGTGGATGGCAGAGTGATAACAGACAAAAAGGAAAAGGCAGAGGTGCTCAATTCTACAATAGAACATACAATATGTTCTATTGTATTTCAATGTATTTTATTGTGTTGTAAGCCGCCCTGAGGTTTCGGCAAGGGGCGGCATAGAAATGTTATAATCATCATCATCATCATCATCATCATCATCATCAATTCCTGCTTTGCCTCAGCTTCCTTCCGCAAGGAAATCTGCAACCAAGAGGAAGTACAAGCTGAAAGTGAGAGATGGCAGCCCAAGATTGAGAGACAAATGGTCAAGGAATACCTAGATGAAATAAATGAGTTCAAATCTCCAGGGCCCAATGAACTCCATCCCAGAGTCATAAAAGTGCTAGTGAAGGAGCTCTCAGAACCACTGGCTATTATCTTCGATAAATCTTGGAAAACAGGGGAAGTGCCAGATGACTGGAGAAGGGCTATCATTGTCCCTATCTTCAAAAGGGGGGGGGGGAGATGAACATGGGAACTATAGACCAGTTAGTCTGACATCAATCCCTGGAAAAATTCTGGATAAAATTATTTAAAAATCCATCTGCAAGCATCTTGAAGAAAATGCAGTGATTAATAGACAGCAACATGGATTTATCAAAAATAAATCCTGTCAGACTAATTTAAGGTCATTTTCTGACTGGGTAACCTCCCAAATGGACAAAGGAAACACTGTGGACATAATCTACCTAGACATTAGCAAAGCTTTTGACATAGTGCCACATGATATTCTGATGAGCAAATTAGCAAAAACTAGACTAGATGGAAAAACTATTAGGTGGATCCAAAATTGGCTGCTAAATCAGTCCTGGGCCCAGTGCTCTTCAACAACTTTATTAATGATTTAGATGAGGAAGGATACTCACAATATCCTAAGCTTTAAGAGAAAACTGAGTTGCTGCAGCATGCAAGATGGGCCAGTAGGTGAAAAGCTAAACTGGCAAGAATAGAAAGGTGTCTGAAGAAGGAAAGTCATAGACTTTTCAATCTTGGTAAGTAAAGGCCCTGATAGAAATATCTTCTCCTTGTTAATTGCACAGCTTCTGAGTTTCCAGTTGTCTTGTGATACATTGCATTTTAAAGAACTGCTTGTAAGAAAATAGATAAATAATATCCTTTCCTGGCAAAATAAAACACTATTGTTAATTTGAACAGCAGGTTTATGTTAGGGGGACAAGACATATTGCATTTCAAGTACATCAAGACCTTTACAGTAGCAAAATGATAAATCAGTTACCAACAAGATCATATGATGGTAACTCTTCACTGATGGAAGAATGAGGAAAAGATAAAGCATTGCTTAGTTCAAAACAAAGACACTCTCCAATAGCATCTATCATGCCAAATGCAGTTAAGTGTGCACTGAGTTCAAAATCATTTTATCGTAAATTTTGGAAATGGTTTCTGAAAGAGGACATGAGGAAGGGCCTTTAAAATATCTGCTGCTCTTAGTCTGTCTAAGAAAAAACTACCCCCCACCCAAAACTTAACCTCATAATATCTATCAATACATTATAGATCCATTTTAAAAAGAGCATACATGTGACATCCCACTTTTAAACATTTGCTTCAGTCCTTTGCTCCTGAGAACCCTTGACTTAAAACCTGTGAGCCTTTAAGAAAACGCTACTTGTTGAGAATATGCCTGCCAGATTTTTATTTCTGTTCAGGTCCCTTAGAATAGCCAGAGAAGTTCACGAAAAGTGCATATGGAATGTTTTGTTTCAGATATTTAAATAGGAATGAAGAGATGTGCTTGTTAGTTCACAACAATTCTAAAGCTCCCACAGAATTTGTACAGAATTGCACTGAAGTTTGTCACCATGCATTGTCAAGTCTATCAACAGTCTTGAAGCTGAGCCACTGGTGAGCAAACCTAGCTCCACTCTCTCTGCCACCTTTGCAATATTCCAGAAGAGCCAACTGTCGACTTGACCTTGGTCTTGACCTTGATGTGCTAAGATCTTGTATGTGATCATTGGTTCCATGGAACCAATTAACTAGGGAAGTTGTGGGTTCGCCTACACTAGAGTCATTCAAGATGCAACTGGACAACAATCTGAGAGGGGTGGTTTAAGGTGGAGCCCTGCACTGACCAGGGGGCTGGACCCAATGGCCTTCTGGCTCCTTCCAACCCTACTATTCTATGATTTTGTGATTCTGTAAAGTCTAGGAAGGTTTCACTACAGTTTCTAACTCATCAGGGGTCAAGGCCCATGAGGGACTAATGGAGTTATCCCTGATCCTCTAAAGCCTTGGATCAGATTTAGCCCGGCTCCTCAGTGGTCTGAGCAACTAACTTTTTGAAGACCAAGTCCTTACTATCTTCATTCCATTATCTCTTTTTCTCTGCTAATTTTTGTACAAACTCCCCTGTTTCCAGGCCCATTTGTCGGCCTTGGATGGCCAGCATCAACGCATTGCTAGACACTTGCTGAGGGGCTACATCCCAATATGGCCCACTGGCAGGAGCCCCTGGGAGGTGTTCCTCCTCTTCACCATTGCCTCTTGCTCTGGTTCAGGCAACACTGACGGCGAGAAGGAGGAGCAGTAGCTACTACTGCCTGCTGGCTCATTGGTTTTCTGTTTATTTATTTAAAACATTTCTGTGCTGCCCCATCGCAACAAAGCCTCAGGGCGGCTCACAACAATTGGTAGCTGACAGCATGGCAATTCTGGGTGGTGATAATAGGATAATAGGATAACGCTTCAAGCCAGATTTAGTTGGGCTATAGAGGACATAACTGGTTCCAGTGAAACTTTCATCACTATGGGAGTAAAACAGGCATCACTGTCAGGCTTTCTTCACAGTCCACTCGACAGTTAAGGTTTTCTTTCTCACACTGGGTGATTATTAGTCTCCGTATAACAGCTAACTTTGGTTGCTATGCGCTGAACCATATGGAGGACCCACGTCTGACATCCAGAAGAAGGGTGAGAATTATACCACATCCAATATACAAGGAAAACAGAGAAGTGGCATGTGTCCATGCATACCCACACTGACTGAGGGTGTTCAGATCTGCAACTAATCTGAGCCATTAAGTATAAGTATCAGGAACTTCTCAGTAATAAATATACACAGAGAGCTGCAAGGCAAAATTCTGTGCAAGTTTAGACGGGGAAAAAAGTCTACAATTCTCAGCATGCCCCAGCCAACTATGCATAAAATTGTGCCCTTAGATATTTAATTATCACCAAGCATTTCATTTCCCAGTTCTTTATGGATGGTCATGCAGGCCTGTTTCCAATGGTAGACAACCAGTTTTCCTGCAGCCATCCACAGATGAATGAGTAAGTCTTTTTACTGCTTTCAGGCCACTTCATCAAATAACCTAAATGGCTGACCACAGCATCCAGTGGGATCTATAGACCTGTGGTCTCTTCTACCTTAATTACTATTAAATTCCCCAAAATCTGGACCTGTGGCCGCTTCTACCATACGAATACAAGAAGCTGTCTTTTACCAAATTAGACCATTGGTCCGTCTAACTCAGTAGTGTCCTCTTTGGCTGCCACTGTAGGTCACATCCAAGGTGACTTTCTAGTAGCTACTTTGGTTTTCCTAATCCTCAAAAATGAAATTGCTCATCCTGGCTTTAAAAAGAACATTTAGCCACTATGAAATCAGAGGGTTGCAGTCCAAAAGCTCTGCCAGATCTGTCAGCTGTTTTACATTTGCAAGGAATCCTCTTCTCCATCTATTAAATTATGACTATCTCTTTCTCTGGGTCTGTCCCTTTTCCCAGTTATCAGGCAACACACCCCGTAACACTGTCCAATTTCATGGACACATTGATCATCTTACTTTTAACCCCAAAAATGTCCATTGTCATTTGATACCAGCTAATCACTACTTCATTTAACAACCTTTTGGATGTATATGTTTAAACTGCTTTAGGACATAATCCTATGGCCTCCTGACATTGCCCAAGGAACCATAGGATTGGTTCAGTTGGAGCTGGGACTTTGGACTTAGAAGGCTCTCCCTCAGCCCTTGCAGAGAGTCCTTTCTTTGCCTGCTGGACTCTGGAAGACTATCTTTGTAGCCAGTGAGGGGGTTCAGGGAGTGAGGATCAAGTTACCAACATCCTCCCCTGCTCAACAAAAAACAAAACAAAAAAAAATCCTGGTGATACCTTGCCCTCTCCTCCTCTCAAGGAGGAAAAAACATTCAGATGGCTAAAATCAGCCGTCTACATGTATGGGAGGGCAAGGAGAATGCAGAGGCAATTCTAGCATCCATGTTCCTGCTTCCTTCCATGGGGTTTCCCTAGACCTCTGGATTTGGAGGTCAGAGGCAGCCACACTGGATGTTGCCCATATTAAACAGGAATGCTGCTTTCCAGGTTTATCTCTAGAGTCTTGCATCCTTCTTCACTTGAGGTGCCAGTGTTGTCAATAGCACTTAGTGTTCAATATTAAAAAATCCCCTACTTTAGTAAGTGCACACTTATGTGTCACAACAAAACTGCATTAGATCCCACACAATATAACTGTTGCTGTACTGTGCCTGTTCACACAACACAACAGTCCACCATGCTTATCTGTAAGAGCTGTTTTATTGTGCAGGTGCCATTTTTGAATGGACATGATCCCATATGGGAAAAAGATGATTCCTTGAAAATGTGTAGCATTTTGCCATAGCCTGTCATGCCATGAAAACCCAGGCATTAGTTAGACAACCAATAGTCCGTGGCTTCTTTGTGGGTTGTCTAACCCTCAAAGAACACTTACTGCCTGGGTTCAGATGACACAACAAGCCATAGCAAGCCAGTCATCATGTAAAAAATGACACACATGGGTGCACAGCTCAGAACACACCCGTCTCCATGGATAAACCAAGCCACAGTGGACCCTCATGTCATATGAATCAGGTCATCAAGTTTAATTGGTGTTGTTTCTTTCCATCACTAAACAGAACTATTTGGGAGCCTGCAACTTTCTTGTAGATATCTATGGTGTCTATAAACTAAT